GTGATGGAATTTAATAATTATTTTTTGGTGTATTTCGTATTTTGTTTGTTTTGTTTATTTTTCGTTGAATTTGAATTGTATAGTATTTTTTTTTGTCTAAGTATGTAAATGTGAGTATAGTGTAGGCTTGTAATGTTAATTCATATTTTAGTAACTTTCTGGTGGTTTTGAGTGTTTCCACGGCCTACCCAAATGCCGATCTTGACCAATATCGGTTAGGCTACACAATGGCTGGAGTCTGTATGCCGTCTGTATGGACAGGCTGACTTAAAACTATGGGCCTTTCTTCAAAAGGCCTACCCAGACCCATTACTGTATTCGCACAGTTTTATTTAACTTTATTTACGCACTTAAAAAAAAACACCACTGTGGTTTGTTTCGGCGTTTCTTCCCAGAGTGAGTCTTAGGAAATGCCGGCTCCTCCTAGCTATAAAGTCCGACTTGTAAAAATATCTGTAAAGATACTTACTTACAGAAATAAATATCATTTTTTATCATTATCATTATTGATTTAATGCAAATTAGTTGTCCGTATGGTGACGGATTAAGAATACGGAATGTCACCATCCCTATTCATCCCGTGGGTGTCGTAAGAGCCGACTAAGGGAACAAACTACGCAGGACAACAGCACTGCAAAGAGAAGGAAAACTTGCAACAAACCCTATACCAACCCGTCTGGCCAGTGTGGTATAGTAGGCCAAAACCTCCTTTCTAAGGAGAGGCCTATGTCCAGCAGTGGACTATTATAGGCTGTTGATGATGATGATGATTGATGAAATTAGTCAATATTGTAGGTAGGGTAACGTTAAACTTTGCCGCTAATTCCTGAGTAGTTTGACTCAGATCGGCTTCCACTATCTTCTTCAATTCAGTGTTATCTACCTGTGTATTCTTCTTCTTCGGTCTTCCAAGTGGTTATGCTTCAAGTCAAAGTTTCCATTAAGCAAGCGTTTAAACCAAGAACATGGTGCGTTCATTAGCAGTCTCCTCTCCAAACGCAGCGTTGATATTGCGAGCCATTTCAGCCGCATAAGCTCCCCGTCGGAACTCTTATTAAAAAATGACTCGGATTTTCGAAGTATCCATCTTTCTGGTCTAAGCTGAATAAAAAAACAATTGAAAGTCGAAAAGCGAATGTTGCACATTTTTTAAAAGAAGAACCTCAAGAAGAATCATATAAAAAAGTTTCAAAGTTTCTTTTTTTATCTTAGAGACGAGCAGATGGGTCACCTTAACGGCAATTTCATACTTTAACCCCTATTATTGCAAGAAATGTTTAAACAGAGTAATTATGATTAAACATATTTCAGACTAGATATATTTTAACTGCCTGATACATAGAAAAAATACAGATTTTAACTATTATGGCATACTACTACTGACATGCCCAACAAATGTCAACCGTACCATCTTTTAGGATATTAACCTTCAGTTTCTCCGAAGAAATCACCATACCGTAGCCAAGTAGCAAATGCTTTTAAGTCTATATCGGACCCATTTAGGGCCCGATAAAACCTACCATAGAGCTCTTTGCCCTTCCATACTTCCCTGCGATCATTAGTACTAAGTACTACAGGTTTGCGCTAATTCTCTTTAGTCAGAGCGAGCGGAATGAATCCGGTATCCACTGCAACTACATTGTGATACACTCCCACATCAGTTTGCAGAAAATATTATCTGAGATTGTATATCTCGCGATTGTGTAGGGTCTTGTTATTTAATAGTCTGCGACCCCCAAACTTTCGCGGATATACAATGTCATAACCGATGAACGTGGGTGGTGCATTCGGAATGTAGTCAGCAGTGTTCGAACTCTCTGGTCAAGGGCATCTAATTCGGTCTGAGTCCATCTAAGTATACCAAAGGAATACATCAGAGCCGGCATAACCCTGCCATTGTAGGCACCTTGTTGCCCCCTGATAAAAGACTTTTAAGTACTTTTTTCCGTCGGCTAAAAAAGCGTTCCTACAACATTTGTTTCATGTCAGGTATTCCCAACGACTGTGATATACCTAGATACTAGTAGTTTCAGTGTCAGACAGGGATCTGAGTTTTGTTGAATCTGAAAACTCTATTCCTTCAGATTCTACTATCACGCCCTTCTTTACATACATGACTGCACACTAATCTACACCAAATTCCATCTTTCAAAATGATTTACTAAAGTTTTTCGTCTCCTTTAGTAACGCTGTCAATTGTAATTTCGTAGAGGCTAGTAGTTTCAAATCATCCGTATAAAGGTGAGATATAACTTGATCATCTCTCTGCAACCTAAAGCCTAACCCTGAACCTTCTAAAATAGTGCTGAGAGGGTTCAAAACAGACAAAACCAGAAGGGACTCAGACTATCATAATTAAATGTACCCTGCTCGATCTTTAGTAGTACATCGTTTACTGCAGTCTGCCGACATCCTGGATAGCGAAGTGCTGTTCTCCATTGCCCCATACATGGCTCCAAGAAAGGGCACAGAGTTGTATTAATTTTGTACAACTCCAGCACCTTCAAAAGCCATGTGTGTGGAACCGAGTCATAAGCCTTCTTATAGTCTATCCTAGATGTCGCCAAACTCTTACGATGACGAAGTACCTGTTGGCTAATGGTCCTGTCTATGATAAAGACCTCTTGAGTGCCACGGGTCCCACTTCTACATCCATTCTGAGGGACTGACATAATCGAATTATTATTAATGTGTAAAGTAATTTGAGTTTCAAAACAGATGTTAGAAGTTGGTTGGTAAACTTATGATAGGTCTTAAATTTTTGGGATCCATGACACTATCAGACTTATAGAGTACCAGAGTACCAGTGGTTAAAAATTGGGGTAATGAATACGAATCCAATGCGCATGTGAGCTTCGGAAAGAAAAAGAAGCTTAAATATTTTTTTTTCCAACAAGGACATTAAATTCTAAAACCCAAAAGTTTGACTTCTACTACGATCTGATGAGGCAGGATGGCCGGTCGATGTAAATAGACCGGAGGACGTCCAACAAGAGAAGGTGAATATTAGCCTATTTCCTGTTTTCATCTTCTTTATATTTCTGATTCTAATTGAAGGTATGCAATTGTGTTGGTATTAAAACAATTGCCCACTTCAATTGGCCGAATTGGAGAGAAACTACGTGTGAAAATTAAACTTAAAATGTGAATATATTTTGTATAAAAATTTAATAAAAATACAAAAAGATCTGTTCACAATTTTATTCAATAATTTATTTTCTTTAATGGGACAGAGTTACAAGTTATCTGATGTTTGAAAAAGTACACAACTGTTTAGATATAATTGTCTTGCGTTATAATGATAATAATAAGATATGCGATTTTGTCTTTTGATATGCGTAAAACTGTTTTAGATTTAACTTGAGCACAAAACAAAGCTAAAAGTACCAGGAAAACAGTTATGGGCCCTTGGGAGCTGGCACTCGAAAGAACCACGTTCCATCACCCCCCAATCCCGCACTTTTTACATTTCTGAAATCAAAACTTTAGGCAAAAACAATGTCATTTTGCGCCTTTTATAATCTTAAAGAAACAAATAATCTGAATACATATTCTAAATTTAAAGTGACGAAAAAAAATATGTTCAACTCAAATGCATGGGTACTTTTTTATATTCAAGTTAAATCTTCGACTAGAGATAATGATGAAAAACGTTTCCAAATATTTGTGCGTAGTGATATTCTAGCGCAATATTTAAAATTACTATTAATAATAATACTTATGTTCAAAATATCAAACAAAGTACTAACTTACCAACTAAAATTATTATAAATTAAGACTATTTTACAAATAGTCGAATAATTAAACCAATGGAATGAACAATTTGAGAATCACACGATTTAGTCGCGTAATCAGTCAGTACATTTCCACAATACGCTTATATCTACGGTTTATTCTAATAAGTTAATAGTTTATCTACATAATTGTAACTATTCGTAAGAGTATTCTAAATCTCTTTGGCGAAGCATTACTATTTACAAATCGTAAAAACTTCTAAAAAAAGAATATTCTGAAAAGTAACATACTCGTATTTAAAAAAAATAATTGGCAATCCTTGGAACGCGTTACTATAATAATAAACAGTCTTCAAATAAGAAAAAAAACAATACGCCTCCCAATTACATCTAATAAAAAATAAAGTCTCTTTAGTTCTTAATTCAAATCCTTTACATGTTTAATTAGTTTTGGTTGGTGAAATATTTTCTGATAGTAATAACTGATAGGAATTCTGATAGTAATATTGTGATCCGGTGTAAACATAACATTATTGTATTATGGGAAATTGTCACTTTTATTAATAAATTATCGGTGTTAAGTACAATGCCTTTAGTTTTGAAGGAGAAGCAGGTTTATTACTGCTGAAATTTCTTAAATGTAATATATTTGTAGTACCAAAAACCCGAGATACTAACTAGTAGCCTAAATTGAAATCTAGATCTACTAAATGAATAACCGGGATAATGTCATTGGCTTAAAGAACTTAAATAAACTTTTTAAAATTGAAATGTGGTTCCAATTTTAAAACTGGTGCTTTACTCGATTCGGTTTTGATTTGTTTGTACTCTTAAACCGAATCGAATACAAAACCAAAATCGAGATAATTTCCAGTAGAATAGTTCGATTGTATTCTGTTCGGCTTATTAATTTAGCTCGTATATTTTTTACCACAAAAATACACACAAAAATTTACAATATGTAGTTTAAATTAAAACTGCAGAGTACGATCGTGCGTGTGGAATTTAAGAGGAAAAACTGAAATTGGATCGAATCCATCGAAACTAGACTCGATTCTAAATTCGAAAATATTGGCAGTAAGGCAACAGAAAACCTTGCTTACATAAATAAATGGCTATAAAATTTGGCATGAATAGACTATCCAACAAATTGTTCTGTCCTGTCACAGGAAGTAAATAAATAAATACTTTCGAAAACAATTACACAATACAACACACAGTCTGAGAGTTACCACACAAAAAAATAAAACGAAAGATACCATAAAATTATCTTTCAGTGTCTCTTCTCAATAGTCTATTTACTCTGTAAACCCTATTCCTGTAGTTTTCAACATTTCTTCGCAAAAGCCTTGAGACTGCGGCCCTCGTTACAGCCGCTTTGTAGCTCTGTGGTGACAAAATGGCGGGTGTTTCGTGCGTTCTCAAAATATCCGCCGGGGCGTCTGACAACATGGCGTCGATGTCTCCGTTTAACATGGCCAATGTGTCTGATGATGACGTGTAGTTGGAAATTGGTGCGCAGAGAGGAATAGCGTTGGACCATTTTCTGTTCCTGAAAGAAACATGAGTTTTAGTTTCTGATTGATATATTTTCAATTGTTACCAGTTATCAATCGAAAATATATACCAAAATGATAAAAACTTGTAGATCAGATTTGTCGAATACAAAAACAAAAAGTTTACACGAGATGATAGACAGAACGCAGTTACTATTCGTGCTTCAAATCTATGTTAAATATTTTAAAATGTATCCTAAACAAAAGGCCGCGAACATGACTTTTACCAAATAGATTTTTAAACGATAAAGATCTGAATTATCGAGTTGAACACACCGTCATACAGGTACTACATCTACATAAGTACTTATTAGTTCAAACGATTAATGATTTGCTAATCTTTTACAGAATTTATTTATACAAATATGTATATTTATACGACTGCACTGATGGCGTAATGGTTTAAGCGGTCGCCACGCCGCTTACTACTACGCGGAGTGCTGTGGGTCCGATCACCACGTGGGACGACACTTTGTGTGATCCACAAATTGTTGTTCTGAGTCTGGGTGTCCCACTTTGTGTCTTTTTATGTGTGTTTGTAAAGTCCCCCGCGACACAGGATTTATTCCTAGGGCGGGCATTTGGTTTACAATGGTTGATAAGTCGACTCGCAAAAAATAGACCGACCAACGAATAACAGGATTTATAAAGGTTAATTTTACTAGTAACTTTAAACAACAACTTACTTTAAACACCTCAACATAGGCGCACCTTTCAGCCTGTAACCAGGCTCACAGGTGAATGTAATCGTTTCCCCAATTTTGTAGTAAAACTTCACTGAAGACATGCGGCCCGAGATTGTGGTACCAGGGTATGTACACGCCTGTGCACCTAAAAAAAAATTCATTTTTAGGAGTATATCTTAAATTACAACACACATAAGCATAGCTGTACCCAAATTTCTCTTAAATCCATTCGTTTTGTCTCCAAGGAGGTACATATACAAATAGAGAGTGATGGCGTGGCCTGACAGAAAACCTCATTGCATTTCACCAAGTGTGTGAGATTACTCAAGAACCGGTGCATGAACAGTCACTGTCCATAACAGTAATTAGCCTCTATAAAGTAAAAAATACCAATACAAAAATTTATCTTCAATATCTTTAATGAACTTGAGTAGGTAAAAGCAAAAAGCCAGAGGATACAGCTGCAACCTTGAAATATGCACTTAAATATATATGACGTTTTTACTCGTATTGGGCCTGTTGGTCTAGTGGTTAGTGGCCCTGACTGCTAAGCCGGGAGGTCGTGGGTTCGATTCCCACCCAGGACAAATATTGTGTGATGAGCACGGTCATTTGTTCTGTGTCTGGGTGTAATTTATCTACAATATGTATGTATTCACTTCCCTTCGCGGCACCGTGCGACTGACGTGTGACTTCGTGTGCTAACAATTTAAATATTGTTTTCTGTTTTTTCTGCGACTAGTTTTCGGCTTGCGGGCGGCTAAAGGTTGTGTATAGTGTTTTAAAGAAAGTCAGTAAGTTTTTATTGTTTTTAAACAGTAATATAGTGCTGAATTATTTTATTACGACTATTGGTGAGTAAATTTATTTTCTTTCTAAAAGTGGGTAGGAGGTATCCTTTGTTTATATTGATTTTTCTCTGCGTGTTATTTATTTTTAAACCTGTTCCTTTTGAAATTGTTGTTTGGTGTGTCTTTGTTTGGCTATGTCGGTCGTTAGCGAGTTGCCGGACCCCGGCGGTACAAGTGAATTTCTAACACCAACCGGGAAAAGGACATTTATCGAAATGTCACCTACTGGTTTCTCGCCGAAAGACAGTAGCCGTAGGCGCGTTATTAATTCGGACTTAAGTAGTAATGTTTCGTCTCCTACTGGTCGTGATAACTGTGGGGAGTACAACTACTGTGACTTAGTATCACAGGCCACTGATTATTTAGCAAAAATTAATGAATTAGTTAATGATCAGGGATCTCGGATGAATGTAGGTAATAAAACGGCGATTATGGATATTACTCAACGAATTACCGGTATCGTATCTTTGTTAGCAATAAAATCCTCTAGCAACGAAACGAAGTTAGCGAATTTTGAGCGACAAATGGAGGGTATCGCAACTCAACAAACGAGTTTAACGTACGCGGACAAACTTAAGCTTCGATTACCACCTAAATCTGCTCCGTGCCCGGTACCTACTGAAGCGTGCGTTCCTAGGCCTTGTGTCATTGCCTATCCCACTACGGAACGCCTAGCGGACTATGCGACCTCGTCAGCAACAAAACAAGCTCTCATGAAGGCTATTAAACCGAGCGATGAGGGATTTCAAATTGTAGGCGTTAAAAAAACCTCTAAGGCAGGCGTCGTGTTACGTGTAGCTAACGAACGGCAGCTTAAGAAACTGGAATCTGTGGACGCCATTAAATCAGTAGGGTTGCGCTTAGAAAAACCGAAAGGCCGTAGGCCCCGTATAATTGTAAAAGACGTACCCGGTTCTATGGAAGATCGTGCCTTCCTAACAGCCTTATACCGTCAGAATATCAAGGACGAATTAAAATTAAGTGAGAACGATTTTATTAAGTCAGCCAAAATTGTTAGGCATCGTAAACTAGAAAATGGGCGTCAATGGATAGGCTTAGAATTAGAGGCAGCAGTTCGGAAACATCTAGCCAACACAAAAGATAAACTTTATATAGACTGGGCCACATGTAGATTCATAGACGATATAGAAGTAGTTCGTTGCTTAAATTGTCAGCAATTCGGTCATGTACAAAAGTTTTGCACCATTAAAACCCCTACTTGTGCTAATTGCGCCGCCGCACACGAAACGCGAGCTTGTCCAGATAAAGACACACCAGATTTTAAGCCCACGTGCGCACAGTGTAAGCGGTTCAAAAAACCATCTGACCATCGATGCGGTTCATATGACTGTGCCACATAGGTACAAATTAAAACTGGAACAGCTAATATTAAATACCAATTACTGAATAGTTTAACTTAGTTTAAAAAAAAAAAAAAAAAAAAAAAAGTTTAAAGAGGAACTTACTAAGTAATGAATAATATTTCGATAGGCCAGTTAAATCTTCATAACGATAAAATAGCTACATCAGAATTAGACCGTTTAATTTTAGAACAAAAGTTAGACATTGTCCTTTTACAAGAACAATATCAGAGCGCTCACTTGCGTCGTAATGTAGTACAGCTTGACTGCCGTTCGCAGGCTGGGATATATGTTGCAAGTTCTAATTTTACGGTAACATCTTTGCGTAATCTTATGACGTCACACTGCGCCGTTGCTGAGATCTCATCCTCTACCTGTAAGGTTTACGTAGTGAGCTGCTATTTTCAATATTCACATCCTATTGATCCTCACTTACATCACTTACGTTACGTCTTGCAGTTCCTCGTGGGACATAAAATTATCATTGGCGCTGATGTCAATGCGTCATCTTCATTATGGTATGGCAAGTTGCGTTCAACCGACACGGTTCGACGTTGTGCGGTTGAAGATTTCATTGCGGAAATGAATCTTATTATTCACAATACCCCCGATGCACCACCAACTTTTTGCAACCCAATGGGTGAGTCTTCTATTGACGTGACGCTTACGCGCGGCGACGTCTCGATATCCGGATGGCGTGTCCTTCCGGACGCATCCTGTAGTGATCACCGCTTGATCGTGTACGAATTCATACCAAGGGTTGCACAGGATCCACAAAAGGCTCCCTATAATTTTAGATATAAAACTAAAGGTGCGAACTGGGCTTTGTTTGGTTCACTATTTGCAACTCATACCAAAGACTTCAGTCGCAGTAGTTTATCAGCTGAGGAAAGCGCAGAAATACTATCAGAAACTTTTACATACTGCGCTGATGTAACTATTGGTCGCGGATCTATCACTAACACTCGTAGATGTGATTGGTGGAATGATAGATTAGCCGAACTACGTAGAAGCTACCGGAAAGCTCGTAGAAAATTAAACACTATTAAAAAACATAACGTAACAGGAGATTTGTACAACAATGCTCTCATTGCTCTTAGAGTTGCCAGGTCCCACTACAGAGCTGCTGTGGAAAAATCCAAGGGAAACTTAATTCAGAAACTTGTTGATAAACTCGATAGAGAGGGCCCGTGGTCACCTTTGTATCACGAATTTAAAGCAAATAGATCAATCGACCTTGCATACATACAGAACATCAAAATTAATAACAGATATACCACAGGAGTAGAACAAACAGCAGAATATCTTTTAGACTCACTCGTACCTGACGATCGACCGGAGAACGACACTGATCATCACCGACAGATCAGGCAGTGGGCCATCGAACCACCACTATCTCCAATGTCTGATTTACCATCTTCAGACGAATTTCTCGGTATCATTAGATCCTTGCCGCTAAACAAGGCTTCGGGCGATGATAAAATATCTAACAAAATGATAAAAGAAGCTTGTAAACTTTCGGGTGACACGATTTTCACTGTCTTTAAACGTTGCATTGCTGAAGGAATATTTCCTCGTATATGGCGGTGCGGTAATATTCGTATAATACCAAAAAGTGGCGACAAGCCACCGGATGATCCTAAATCCTACCGACCAATCACATTGTTACCATCGTTGGGAAAGCTTTTAGAACGTCTTGTAGTGCCCCGGCTTCTGCCAGGTGGAGTCAAATTTCATGATAGACAATTTGGATTTACGTTGGGTAAATCGACAACTGACGCTGTTATATCGGTTAGAAAGTTTGTCACAGGGTCAAAATTTCAATACGTGCTGGCTATTTTCTTAGATATATCTGGCGCCTTCGACAACGCATGGTGGCCCATGCTGTTGCTGAAATTAAAATCACGGGGGTGCTTTAAAAATATTTATTCCCTTATCTCTTCGTACTTTTCACAAGGTACAACTAAACTAAGACTTGGTCATCATTCTGTGTCGAAGGCGCTTACAATGGGATGTCCTCAGGGATCGGTGCTAGGTCCATACTTGTGGAATATCGGCTTCGACGATTTTCTTGCGATACCAATACCATCCGGATGTACTCTGAACGCGTATGCTGATGACGGCTTATTACTGGTGGAATCTGATACTAGGGCGGGGCTTGAGAGATTAGCCAATAGATGTTTGAACTTGATATCTCAATGGGGTGAACGTAATCGCTTAACTTTTGCACCCAACAAAACCTTCCAGCTACTTTTAAAAGGTAACCTCAAATCACCGCCGAGCATTAGATTTAACAATGTTACTGTAAAAAATAAAACCACAGTGTGTTATCTAGGATTAGTTTTAGAAAGAAACTTTTCATTTATCGAACATATTAAAATGGTTAATGAAAAGTCTAAAAAGAGTTTCTGTGCATTGACAAGGATATCAACTGCGACATGGGGTCTATCATTTAATACATTAAAGATCATATACGGAGCTACTTATTTAGGTTCTATGTGCTATGGTGCACCTGTATGGGCCGATAGGGCGACCGTAGGCGCTGTCCGTCGCAAACTGTTACAAGGCCAACGACTTGCACTGATATTCTTGTGTAAGGCATATAGGACGGTTAGCACTGAGGCTTTGCCGGTGTTGGCGGGTGTGCTTCCGGTCGATCTCGAGGTGCAGAGACGTGCAGCCATGTACTATTCAAGACAACAAAACATGGAATGCGATTTTTTGGGCGCGCGGGATCGCGGTAAAATTACAAGATTGCTTCAACAGCAGCCCGATGTCTATAACGACCTCATAGACGAATGGCAACAACGCTGGGATGAATCATCCAAGGGGCGCCATCTTTACCAATTCTTTCCATCTGTTCGCGAACGGTTGTCGAGGATATGGCTTGAGGTGGATCACTGTGTCGCTCAATTTCTTACGGGTCATGGTAACTTTAAGAGCAAGCTTTATTCATTTAAATTAGTGGAGTCACCATTGTGTCAATGCTCAACACCTAACTCTCACTATGAACAGTCTGCTCATCATATCCTCTGGGAATGTAGTCTTTGGTATAATGAACGTAATATAATGCTGAATAGCTTGCAGGTGACATCTGGGGCGGTATACTATGGGGATCTTGTGTCAACTAGGGTGAATTTCCGTGCGTTTAGGCGATTCTGCCATACATATTATAGAAATCAAACATAGCTTACGTAGGACCCGTAATATTTGTGGCCGTGGTGCTTCCCTGTTTAAAAGGGTGTATGCCCATTTTTACTTCATTTTGTCTCCCGCTTTGCTAAGGAGGGAAGTGGATTTACTGTATTTCCAACTCCTCCAATTTTCTTCTGATTAATTTCGTTGCGGGTTCCAAGACAGTTTAATTTCTTCCTGGGACTTCCCGAGTGTCATAACTCGGTGTGTTCGTGGGTCACTGCTGTGGATCCTGGTGTACAGGAGTTACAGTGGTGGGCGTGTGGGTGGGATTAGTCCCAATAAAAAAAAAAATATGTATGTATTTAAAACTATATAAGTATGTTTATCAGCAGTCTGGTTACCATAGCACAGGCTCTGCCTAGTATGGGATCAGACGGCCGTGTGTGAGATGTGTGAGGTTATTATTATTATTACATACAAGAGTGTTAAAAAAACAAAGTTACTAAGTATACAATTACTCACAAGTAGGTGGTTTGTCACTCCACCTGCCACTATCTTGGCACACGAGGATAGGCCTGCCGTGCAGTGTGTGCTCAGGGTTACAGTGGAACTGCAGTACGTCACCGGCTCTGTAAGGAGCTCGGCCTAAGACGTAGCCTGAAGCCGGTGGGGGCAACGCTGGACAGGATACCTCTGAAGACAACAACATTATTGTAATTGCATACGTGTCAAAACATATGTGTGCGGAAAATCCAGGTGAATTCACGTACTGAAAAGGTCGCCTCAAGGCAAAGGATGGTCCAACTCGCAGCTCTTGTCGTTATAGAAATAGACGTATATTACACAATCATGATAACGGACTGATTAAGAATACGGTTAGTCAAAACCCTCAATTATCCCGTGGGTGTCGTAAGAGCCGACTAAGGGAGCAAACTATGCAGGACATCAACACTGCAAAGAGAAGGAAAACTTGACACAAACCCTATTCCAACTTGTCTGGCCAGCGTGGTGTAGTAGGCCAAAATCTCCTTTCTAAGGAGAGGCCTATGTCCAGCAGTGGACTGTTAAAGGCTGTTGATGATGATAATGATCTAAATATTTGGTAAATAAATTAAGGCTGGTTCTTTGTCACAAAAAGATTGATCAGCCTTTTTGGCGTGAAAATTTAAGGTTTTTCTAAGCAAATTTCTCAGAGGAAGTTAGTAAGCAGCAGTAGACTAAGTAACATCCTATCTTGAAAGGTGGGTAGTAGAGAGTGGAAGAAATGTTATATCTTGCAAAACCAGGCCGGTTCTGGCTCAGTATTCATCTAAAATAACATATCCTACAGAACCAATAATTGCGTATTCATAGTATTGTTTAAGTAATGATATGAACTGACCTCTGCAGACTGGGAAGGGCTTAGCCCAGTCGGCGGCTGGTAAACATACAGTCTCAGGCGCACCGCGCAGCGCCCAGCCGGCGGGGCAGGAGAAGGCAGCGCGCCCTCCCACGCCACGCGACACGATAGCCACGCGCGGTCGACGTTCGCCCTCTTCAAGCGGCGTGTCGTGCACCACTTCACCGCATTCTACACCTGGACACCAGATCCTCATTATCACAGGTCGCTAACTTTAAGCAATCGATTTTTATATTCTTACACACACATGCACACACTATCACTCAGACATAAGTACTCATACAATTAATGATTATCCGTTTTTCTATCTATTGGTTTATTCTCCCACTGTGAAACAATTACCTAATCTGCAAGGGATGTGCCAGGAATCCATTGCACAGGATATCTTAGTTAGTTTGGGCTCCTGACTCCCACAAATAATGGACTTCAAACGCAACCATGTTACATGTATATTTTTTTCTTACCTCCTCCTGTTTAAGGCGAGGCCTATGTCCAGTAGTGGACTATTAAAGGCTGTTGATGTGCTTATTATTATTATTCTATTAAATTTAAATTACAACCTTCCAGTGCAGAATTCCTTCGATTTGGGGGTTAAAATTAAAGCACTTACTCTCACAAACAGGTAATGGTGCACTCCAGTTCCCAGAAGCTCGACAGACCAGTGTATGAGCTCCCAAAAGTGCGTTACCATTGGCGCAATGGAAGCGGATCTCCGTGCCCAGACGTGTGCCCAAGCCACTGGCTACTAAACCACGTCGAATAGGCAGAGGTGAACAGTGAACGTCTGTGAAAGGTGACGTCATTATAGGATATCTCTAGAACTAATGTAAAATTCAACTGGCTATATCGTAATTGCTAAGGTGTTATATTGATCAAGTGAAAAAAAGAATCTTAAACTTAAACTGCAGGGATGGCGTAGTGGTTTAAGCGGTCGCTTCCTATTGCGCAGAGTGTTGGGGGGTAAAACCCCACATGGGACAACACTTTGTGTGATCAACAAATTGTTTTTCTGAGTCTGGGTGTACTTTGTGTCCGTTTCATCTATGTTTGTAAAGTCCCTCGCGACACAGGATGTATTCCTAGGCAGGAGTTGTCTTTTAAAAAAAAAGAAAAGAAATCCTACTCAATAAGCTATTGTTTTTATTGACACCAGCGTTTAGTATTGTTGAAGAACTTGAAAACAATGTTATATTCTTAAATAATGTTATAACTAGAGAGGAATACAAAACTTACAAGTTTCAAATATTGCTAATGTGTTACTCACGTTAGAAATATAAATTTTAAATAGAAAAATGAAAAGTAGGTTACTTTTTTCCAATGTGGCAACTTCTGTAGTTGCCACATTACTTATTATTAATTACATACAGCTTAGTACTCGTATTTTTTTGTTATACAAATATCACTTTTAGTATGTCACTCTGAAATGGTAGTGGCTGTCGTTTAACACAATTAATGATGCCTTGGTCATTTTCTTCACATTTGTAGTGATTTAGATCTGGTCTTTGATGTTTTTAAGAAAATTTTCCCGTTCGAGAGCCATGATTCGGAAAGAATGGGCCGGCTCGACGGGAGTGATACCACGGCCTCACATAAAACAGGTGTTAAGCAATTCTTTCGTTGCCTTTCACTGAGTGAGTGAGGTTACTGGAGCCCACTTGCCCCCTCCCGCTGACTCGAGGGGGAGGTACAACGCCCTTGTGACTTTTGAGTTGCAGGTAACAGGTTGCAGGCAGTAGTTGCTTACCATCAGGTGTCCCGTCTGCTCGTTGGCCCTTACCATAAAAAAGTTCTAGAGAATATTAATCATCTATCTACAAAAGCCTCTTCCAACTTAGGTCTGGTAATAAAAATCCTATACTATATATATATACTAAACATACCTTCAACGATAATTTCGACCTGGTGACTCTGTCTTGCTGGGGTCTCGCAGCGATATATACCGGAATCTTCTTTCTCAGCGCCTATGATGCTTAGCCGAAATTCCAGAGCACTGTCTCTTCCAGGATCTGTAGTCCATCCTTCCTGATATTTGCGATCGACCCTGAAATATGAAAGGTTATTAATTTGGCACTATTTTGCAAAAAAAGTTCCATTTCGTTTTAGGTAATTTTTGAAATGAGAAAATTAATTAAACGTTTATTCAACGGCTACTTTAAAAATAAGATAATTTTTAAATACAAAATGTTTCAAAACCTACTCTGGATTGAAATGTGTGACATTCCACTTTGGATTCCCGAACCTCCTCATCCAAAGACACTCCATATGTAGATTGGTGCCAGGATACACGAGAAGTTTTCCATCATTGGTCTGGGCGATTGGTCCTTGCGAATGGCGGAACAAGATGGTTGGAGGCCTCTCCACTGCAAAAAATAATATATATTTTTTAAATATTTTGTTATTTTTAAAGAAAATGCGAGAAGCCCAAAATTGAAATAAGTGGCGTGCAATAGGAGAGGCCTATGTCCAGCAGTGGACTGCGATAGGCTGATGATGAAAGTGATATCAAAATTTACTAGAAGAAACTTACTGGCATAATCATTTTCTTGGTTCAGCCCAAAACAGCTTGGTTTTACTCCGTCCCAAGAACCGCCGATACATTTTCTGGTCTGGGAGCCGGTCATCTCATATTTGCCAATGTCACTGCATCTAGTATAAACAGGAAAAATTACAGAATTTTTTTTGAAAGGAAAGTTAAAACTAGATATCTAAAATGTACAGTCTCAATATCCATGAAATAATTAAGTGAGAAATGAATATAAATAGATTAGAATGAAAACTGTGCTAAGTTGTATTTGATTTATTAAGTAAGTCTAGCGGATTTAATTCGACGGAGCCCGTCAGAGCTTGGTTCTTGGAAAACGAGTCCTTGAAGCCCAAAATCGATCTAAACGGCGTGCAATGGGAGAGGCCTATGTCCAGCAGTGATGACTGATGACGATGATAATGAGACCAATCCACCAGTGGGTTCAAAGTAATTAATGAACTCACTCACATTCAGGTCAAGAAAGTCAGATCCTTTACTATACTTAAACATTGTACATATACCTGTATATACTAACCTGGATATAATTACTGCTCCTGCAGGAAATTCCACAGTCTCTGTAATTTGTAGATCGTTATAGAAAGCGACTACGTTCGGTTCTTCATTCTGGAATATGCAGCTGTTATTGTTCATCAGCTCTTCATTCTGGGCTTCTATCTCTTCTGCAAGTGGAGTTATTAAAGTTTATTTTTTTTTAATGACATTGCTGGCGATCAAGCCGACGTCACCTGGTGATACTTGCAACTCCAGAGTGACAAATGCGTTGGCGCCTTTTCAGTCCCCCCGTCGCCAAATCCGGGAGTGAGGAGATTTTGGTTCCGGTAACCTCACTCACTCGGTAAAAAGCAAAAAAAAAGAATAGATTATGGGATTTCTGTGAGGCTGGCTGACTCCGGATGAGACTGCCTATTTGTGCTAAAGCATCGCTTCCGAACATTTAATTAACGGACATTATTTCTGGATAGAACTTCAAAAGTATCTAGACCTATAAGGTTATAGCACATATTGAAAAACGCCTATGTGCAGATGTTGACTACAGTGTAAGAATGACAATAATGTCATTAATTGGTCCAATAGTTTTCATTTTGCTTACTCCAAAGTATTTACCTATTGCAAGCATATACTCTGGTTTACACTTTTTTTATTAATAACTTACCACAGTTAAAACTCTTGCCCACCCAGCTGCCCTGCTCGCAAATCAGCTTCCAAGTAGTCTTCTCCCCCATAATGGAAGCAATACATCTGAACGTAATTTCTGTGCCGTGTGGGTAGCCCTCCATCCCCACAGAGTTGTTCATCTCTGCCCCATCCCGGTAGATTAGTGTGCCCTGGACCCTTCAAAGATTAATTCCAACAAATGAGAATCAGCGTTATTGTGGGTAGATGTGGACTTGTAGACAAAAAATTTAGTTTTTTATTTACAAATTGGTTGTCAGTTAAGGTGTTTTTAGCTAGTAGCATAGGTAGTAGAATACTGCAGTACTGTATTTTTAATAGTAGAATATTTGACATGTTTTCTTGTACATCTATTGGTCTTCTAAATTTCGGTCAAGACTAACCGAACCTCTCGGTAAGTCATTTTCGGTTAAGAGCTACATCCCAATGAAGTAGTACGAGTAGATCAAAAAGAATCCTATTTATAATCTAGGTGCAAAATTTGACGAAGGCCAATTCTGATTTTTGCACTCAACCGAACCTTTCGTTATTTATACTTCCCTTTCGGTAATAATAATACAATATTATCGATACTAGTGCCCTCTATTAAGTCCAGAAACTGATAATAATTTCTTTAGAGACTTTTTATCTACTTAAAACTGGATTTAAGCTTTAAGAAAATACTAGAAATATATTTTTTCTTACATGCACTACGAGTCCAAAAGGTTAAAGAATTCGCAACAAAATTTAAGCTTGGCCAAGACATAAGAAGCCAAATTACGGCCATACAATTAGCGTCTTATTAACAATAGAATTAAAGTATATTTTCCAACGTCAACTAAGCCCTGCCGTCCGAGGATTTGTACCATGAGAGTGATCTTGAGACCCTTGAAAAATGAGGAAAAGTTGTGATGTATTCGGATTGACTAAGATACAGAGTAATTAATTTTGTATTGTCTTTCTATCATCTCAATAAGAACTTTATAAAAATAATATTTAAAGGCTTCAGAGTTATCTTTTTGCTAAGTTCTCTTCTTTCGCTTTTCTCTCTCTCTTTCACTACTCTTCTAACTGGAATACAATAAGTTTCAAAATGAAATTGTTTTCATGTGTGTTTTTTGGAGGTGCTTGGCTAATTTTACAGCCCGAGAGGATGATTCAATAATGATGTATAGTACCAAACTGTATTGACACCGACACGCTAAAGCGCTTCATACTTTGAGGAAGGACTCTTAGTAGGACCACTACCTGGATATCCCAGAAAAACATAAGTATATCGCAACAATCTTGCATCTTTTATAGGAATAACTTGCTACAACGCAATCAACACGAACCCGAAGTAAGTAATATGTTCTTACAAGACCTTTAATTTCCTCTCAAAAATGCTCTGTCTTAGTCAACCCACGCTGTCAAAACCAGACATCACAAAAAATTCAAGACGAAACATGAAATTCAAGTTGATGATCATCTGTGATGGCTCTATGGTGATGAGTGAAGAGTTAAAGAAGCAAAAGTCCGAACCTATAAGGCTCTCACCAGGGCTTCGCATCCCTGAACGCCTGAGTTCCCTTCAGTCTTCAGCCAGCAAATAAGAAACGCATATCTTTGCAACACATTACTTTTTTTTATCGCGGCTTTAAATCATCCTCTGGATGAGTACGATTATGAAGAAAGCTGTTCCCAGAAACTGATAGCTATTGATAAATGTTTTGGAAAACAATTTCTAATTGCCATTACTTCAATTTATGAAAACAACTTTCTTTATAAACTCGCTTACCACACACAATAGCAAAATAAATGAAAAATAAAATAAAAAAAACAACTTAAATGATTCCAAAGCGCAAGGACCCAACATTTTTACTTTTAATAATACTGTTGGATATTTAAATAAATGTTTGCTCCTTTAGCGTGATTTGGATGAGTGACATAAAAAAGTTTCAATGACATGTCCGTCCGCCATATTTGAATTTATAAAATTTTGAAATTAAACATAACCTAATTTTGAACTCAGATACTTCATGATTTCTAATAATGAGATATTTTAAATTATATTATCTATTACCTGTTATTTATAGGAACCCTGAAAACAAACAATTTCATTGTATTATGTTTTGTCTTTATATATCTTTTATAACTACGTTTACGCATCCATAACCACGACGAGCCGTTCTGGTTTAATAATATCAGTCGTATTTTTACACGTTTTACAAATATGACGCAACGAGACAAACAAAAAACCACATAGAAGCTACAATGAAAGCATTTGGTCAAATTAAACGAACGCTTATTTCACAAACTAAGTCTCTTCAATAGCATATTTTTGTGTTTTAATTTATTTTCCTTCTCCAGAACTAATCACGTGTTAACATTACAGCAAGATTGGATATGTATTTTAAGTTAGTCATTAGAATTACTTTGAAACAGTATTTATCCAAAATCTTTAACTCAATTTTCAAAAAGCCATTTCAGCTATGAATGGTATTTCCCGCCGTTACCATATCATATTGATTTAATTAAATTAGAATTTTTCGCTTCATCTTTTCCTTCATTTTGTTCAGTGATAAAGTTTTATATTTCGTAATTAATTTTTAATGTGTATTTTAAATGTCAAATTTTTTACTTCGCATTTTGTCTGTAGCGACATCTAGCAAAGGTAGGCTAAATATTTTGTGAATGCAGTTCTTTAATCGCGCAATAATTTATCCGAATTACTATAAGATTGTAAACACATGATTAGCTCTTTTTTATATTTATCATCAATACTATTTTACCTCGCTGGTGGTCCGCATTCATAATTCTTTGTGCCATCCATGTCGGGTTCTAGCTCTGATATGTCTTCTCTGACGATGTCAGATCCGCTTTGGAACTCCGATGTTGGACGGGGACGAGTTAAATTTGCTGGAAGTTTAAAAACGAACCATTTTGCTCCAAAAAATTAGATCACATCACGTCAACAGCCTGTTCTAGTCCATTGCTTGACATAGGCCTCTTCCCTAGTATACCCTTTTGCCTACTATACCACGCGGGCCAAACGGGTTAGTACAGGGTTTGTGTCAACTTTTCCTTCTCTTTGCAGTGCTGTTGCCCTGCGTAGGTTGCTTCCTGCTGCTTAGTCGGCTCTTACGACATCCACGGGATGAATAGGATTAAAAATTTGATAAAAAAATTATTTTAATTGTTGTGGTAGTCAATTCTGCGGGGTTATATAGAATATTTGGTCCTTTTAATTTGACTATACTTGGGTGAACATTTTGTTACGAGGACGGTGAAATAACCCCCCAAAAATGTAAATTTGTTTTTTAATTACTGATTCCCCGACTACCCTCATTCACCGTCCTTGGTCTTGATCTTGCATTAGGAGCATAAGACCCACACACGTATTCAACAGTGCCCGTCAACTTACCTAGCGGCCTGCAGAAGTCATGCACGGTAGGCTGCAGTCTTCCAAGATGGCAGTTGAGTGTAGCTGGTGGGGTCCTGCCAGGCTCACAGGCTATGTTCACAGATGAAGCGTGTGCTACCGTAAGGCCTGCTCGGTAACCCGCCTCGTAAGTCGCGCCGTTTAGTTGAGGAAGTTCGCAGGGCGCTGGTCAAAAATTTTAGAGTATTAGAAAAGAGAAATAAAATACTTATTAAGATCAGTCTGTTGAAGTAAATGTATTTATTTAATAAACCAACCCCTTTGTTGTTTATGTTCATAAGTACAGATGTACAATAATATTGAAAAGTAATTTGCATCTTGTCTGAAGAAACAATTACACCTGAATTTATGTCCTGCCCTGTTCGTGTGGTGACGGATTAAGAATACGGAGTGTCATCACTCCTAGAAGACGATTAAGGGAAGAAACTATGCAGGATGAAAACACTGCAAAGAGAAGGAAGACTTAACACAAACCCTATATCAACGTCTGGCCAGCGTGGCATGGTAGGCCACAACCTCTTTTCTAAGGAGAGGCTTGGCTTGGAGAGAGCAGTGGACTATTGAAGACTAATAATGTATTTTCTTTTCTCTATTATGTTAGAGGGGGCAGACGAGCAGAGGGTCACCTTACTGAAAGTGACCATCACCGCCCATGAACGTAAGCAACTCAGGAGTCACAAACGCGTTGCCGGACTTTTAGGAAGGAGTACGGTCTTCTCTTGATGGTTGTATCGGTCCGGAGATACCGCAGACGACAATCCGTTCTACAGAATTCGACCATTTTGTATATAGTTTTGCTTTATTGATCATTATAACTTTAACTGTCATTGTAAAGAGTTCTATTTCCGATTTTCCTTTTCAATAAGGTCTAATTTTTTGAATTTTTGCATTATTGATAAGCAAACCCATTGAATAGTAAACATGTCTAAAACTATGCCCAAAATGTGTTTCTGTAATTTCAAAACGAATATAGGGCCAAAGTTTGAATAGACCATTTAAAAATTTTGACTGATTTGAATGTTTTTTTACCTGCAACACACTCAGGCATACTGGTCACCGCCCATTCTCCAAGCCAACAGCGTAAGTTAGTTGGCCCCTGGACGTTGTACCTGAAAAGATGATAAATTAATAGTTGCATCTCAATGTACTATACTTAGTCAAAAGACTAATTTTAAATTTAATTCAGTAAGATATAAATCTGAAAGAATACAGTCTGAAAATTAATATTCGGGTAAGTTGTAATTTAAGCATTTGTTTAGAAATGTTTTATTTGGTTTTCTGTCGGAGATTTGAAGTATGTATATGAAATAGACTTAAGTAGTCTAAACCAGACCGTTACTTATCACTTCGTCATGGCGGCAGTACTTGACTGTTTTGTTGGTATCCGCCTAAATAGTAGCTTGGTAAGCAAATTTTTTATTGCGATTTCAGTTTCTGATCGATGGTACTTTTTTAGATTTGTCCGTGTACGAGTATGTTGGCATAGTTGGTTTGACAAACAAGTTTTAAATTTTTTCTTCCTTTTACTTAACTGTGTAGGTAAGGGCTGCTTTTAAGTCTTACCTGCATCTTGAAAGTGCTTCTATAAACAATATATTATATACATTATATATTATATACATAAACTCACCCATATTCGCATGAAAAGTGCACCACCTGACCGTTAGGTACCGGATCAGTCTCATTCAGCTCTTTCTCATCCTGAGTATTAGATCCTAACACTTGGCTAGCCGTCATCGGATGTCCAGGATCAGCTGACATCGTGTAAATACCGTACTCCGTCGGAGGCACGTGACAGGGCACTAAGTTAAACAGATTAATTTGTCATTAGGTCATCTGTCCAGCAACCATCTATTTTAGATTTTCTTTTTATCATGATGATGATGGGATAATTAATGAGTAGAATCAAAAATACTTATTTTAAGTCTTTTATGTTATACGGGCAAACGTCCGTGTTGCCGCTCTTTTGCCTCTCTTCGAACTAAAGGGGAGTAGAAGTTTAGTGGCCTAGTGGCGACTCCAATAACAGGAAGAACAGGTACGTTACAACCTCTTCAAGCAACTGTAGTTTCAGTCCTATTTCCCAAGACTGCCAGGTCTCTTTTATTCCTTATCCCAATATCTTTCAAGGCTATTCCTAGTGCAACCAGGTTGGATTATTAGGCATTCAAGATTACATACCTAATTCCTTTCATATCAATGCCCGCAAAGATGCATACTTAAATTCTATAACAATACTTGAATATTATATTTATAAATTAAATTATGTCAGCTGTAAAAACATATTACATAATTATTTACAAATTTTGTCGTTCGAACAAACTGAGCAGTTACTCGAAATATGTAAATAAAAAATTATCTGAACGGTCTTAGTACATTATTTTTGACCCACTTATCACTAATGTTGCTAGTTGCTTATGTAGGCTGTTAGAATGTTAAAATTAAATGGTAGTTAAATAAATTTATATTGATAAAATAGTTTGTAAGGCCTTCTGACGACCGGATGGCGTAGTGGTTTGTGTAACGGACTGCTATTACAAAGGTCGCGGGTTCGGTGCCCGCTCAAACATTAGATGTTTGATTTGGTCTGGGTGTTTCTATGTATAATATGTATGTATTTACAAAAAAAAAGGATATATGTATTTATATCAGTTGTCTAGTACCCATAGTACAAGCTCTGCTTAGTTTGGGACTAGATGGCGTTGTGTGTATGTGGTAGAATATTATTATTATTCTTCGCCCGAGACACAGGTTCAACCTAGTTCGGACATACATATAAACAACAACTGTACAACAGTGTTATTTGTTTGCCATCAGTGTTTCATTTATAAATTAGAGAACCATTTATTAAAAATTATTGTACTCTTTATCTAAATAAATGATTATTATTATTAATATTACGAGAAAACAAAACCCATAAGTTCGTATTTGAAACTTAGTGTAGTTTCTTAACTGTTTGCTTAACACTTAATATGTCATATTTTAATAAAGCAGTTATGTACTCACATATTTCACAGTTAGGCTTCTCTGGCTTCCATCTGCCTCGTACGCATTTGGCTGTTGCGTTTGTATCTAGGTTCAATCCGTATCCTTTTCCACAAGCTACTCGGACTATAGTACCTGAAAAATATAAAAAACTCAACTTGTAAAAGATCTGTCTAAAGTCTGCTATTGGCTTTAAATTTTAAATTATATTGTCACAAAACTATTATTGGAGCTACTGACATGTTTTCTGTTTCTGTTTCGGAATTGCGTCCGCATTACCATACATAACCCAGTGTAGTTTACTACGTATCTCCCATATGTAGTAAACTACACTGGGTTAATTGTTACGAGATTAAAAACTGATTACGCAACAAAACATATATAAACAGTGTTCTATTTCATAAATCATAAAGCCGGGTTATTACGGCCGGAAGGTTAATACTCAGTTCATTGGTGACTGCCGAGTTTCAGCTCTTTCTATCTTATGTTCGGAGGGAGGGCCTTTTCATTGACTAAGACTGGTGTCTGAAACATGGTATGACTGGTATATAAATCTCTTACAAAATTGTATCTTCAAATTACCTGAACTAAAAGTGTTGTTGGGATCACGTCCATATTTTACAATTTCAATATTGACGTAAGGTTCGCTCACGATAGGCTCGCAAGGACTTTTGGGGCGTCCTTTCTTGCTTGCTTTCTCGGTGGTGTTTTGTGCACTCCCACCTTCAGCTACATCTTTAGTATCTGTTGAGTCGCCCAAAGGGGCCTGATGTCGGGTTCTCCCTCCTTTACCCTCTGTACCACTGAAAAGCACATGTTATTAATATAATTGGAAACGGGTGAATACAAGCACGTAAGCTCGCATTTCCGAATTCTCTCTATAATTCACCTTTATATTTTTATCATAGATTATTTTAGCCAGAAAGTATTAATCCATACTTACGTTTTAGGAATAGTAGCTGTTGTTTGATTCAGTCTATCAGTTTTTCTACTCGTTCTCTTGTCACGTTTGTCCAATATATTATCAACTTCAGTCGAATTCGTTTTATTATATTGTAATGGCATCACTGCAATCTCTTTAGCGTTATCTTTATAATTTTCTGTTTCAAAACTTTGTTTTAATGGAATAACAGTCATGTTGTCTGCACTTTTATCGACATTTTTAAACAAAGGAACTACTTTTAATAGATTTGTATTTATATGATTAGTTGATTCTGAATCTGGTGCCGTTGGCCTTAGAGTCCAATTATTTGTGTCAAACTCTTCAATATGAATACCACGCTTTGGTCTAACTTTAGAAGAAACTTCAGTAGCACTCGTTGTCATCAAATCAGATTTGATTCCATCTTCTTCTAATTCTAAATCAAACTCTGTTTTGCTTTCATTAGAATTTTTATTTAAATATCTTTTGCGACGTTTATCAATATACTTCTCAAAGTATTCATGTTTGAGTTTATTAATATTTTCAGCGTTGCTATCTATGCCAAGGTTGTTATCATCAAACAAACCACCTTTAAGAACGGTTGCGTGGGATAATTCGTCACCTTCTTCACCAGAATCTTCGTATTCAGATGTTTCTTCTGAATGATGAATTATTTCTTCGTCTTCAGGCTCGTACACAGGCTGATAAGAATACAGTCTGTGACCTATAGGTTCACCATGTACGTTATAAATAGTGTACACAGCAGTCGGCAAGTTCTCGTCATGACTTTCTATCGAAGCCTCGGGAACTGTTTCATCTTCAAAGTCAAATTTCTTCATGATCTTGAAGTTTGCATGTCTTAGGGTGGGTTTTGAAGTGGCATGATTATATTTTTCATATAGTTGATCTACGTACTGCTGAGTAGGATCGGTTTGACTTCGGACATTGTTATAATGCTGTCTGAGATAAGTTGATCTCCGATGACGAATTTCTGGTTCTGGGATGGAACGTCGTCTGCGTGACCATCGGATTCTTGGATGCTGGTAAAGTGTGCATCTGAAAAGTCGGGGCAAAAGTGTAGTAGTTATAGTTTAAAAAACTGCTATGAAAACATTTTGAATGTTTCTTCTACAGTAAATTCCATCGCAGAGCCCGTTAGTGTTCGTGTATTAACTTCTTTACGATCTTTGGCTCCTCTACTGTGTAAATACAGGTATTATTTGGAGATTTTTAATTTAAGGACTTGTCATGTGTCGAGTTATGATACAACTTACTTGGGTAGTTCTCTTGGGCTCCAGTGACCTCCAACGCAAGTGGCACCGGGTGGACCTTCCGATAGAACATAGCCTTTCTCACACTCGTACATTATTTGTTTATTGTTGACTACCTGCAGAAATATGTTTTTATTATTCAATACAATATATTGTTTGCTTTCGGTGACATGGCTTTTGTATTTATTTGGAAGTTTTTTTTGTTATCGAAGCAGCTAACACTTACTTAACATTGATAAGTATTTCATAATTGTGCAATTTTAAATGGTTCTTTCTGTAGGTCCTGCTGAGGCCTCAGATTGAGATGAAATTAAGGTGCTATAAAAATACCAATGAATGGTGGTAAACTTAATGCGAGAAATCTTTTTTGTTCCTATTATCAAAATCAAAATTAAGTAATAAAAAAAAACTGTTATTTCTTAAGAGATAGTCGTTTCAACTTATGTAACCATAATTTCTTCTTGAGTATAACAATTACCTTCTTGACATATGGCCGATAGTCGTATAAGCCCATATTACCCACGAGCAAAACTTTTCCATTTTCTATGTATCCAGGGAATGGGCAGAACACTGAAAATAAATTTAAATTAATTTTTGTCTTTAAAACAAATATTTGCGATTCAAATTCAATGCTTTTTATTCAGGAAATTGGCAAACAATTAATCACTACTTTTTAAATACATTTAACAGCAACAGTTAACTGCATAAAATATTTATAACAGATAATATCGTATTTGCCTATATGGAGTGAGATCCTTGTGAGAAAAAAATCTGGTAAAGAAACTCACGATTACTGTTTAAAATTAATTTCTATATAAGTCCACAAGAACCTACCTTCTTCGCACTTAGGCGTGTCTCCACTCCATACGCCAAAAGAGCAGACAACGATTGCATTCCCTTTAAGCTCAAAACCATCTTTGCAACGAAACCGGGCCTTCATACCATGTTCTGTCTTTGGAGCTATCACCATACCATTACGGGGAAATTTCGGCATCTTCTTACACCTGTGACAATATTTTTTTTGCAATTATGTTAACGTGAAAAAAAACGTTTTAGTATGTAGGCAAAACTTAAACAGGTTGTTGTTTTGTCGACCCAAGTTTAAATCAATGCTCCTGCGACGTGTATCCTCAGACAATGGGCCATTAGCTAACGCGCCTCGCGAGCTGAGAATCGTGTACGCTTGACGACTTAATAACAAGTAAAACTAAATGCCCTTCGTGTCGCCGAGCTCTGAACCAAAACCGTCTAAAGCTTTGCCATCGACACGATAAGAAGAAGAAGAATACAATTGAATTTCTCTAAGGGTTTACGTCAGTAGGCGTATTATAAAAAAAACCAGGGCCAGTTGCTCAACAGTTATTGCATTCTTTATCCTATCTTTCTCCACTCCCTAGCAGTATCCGTTTCTTTTACCCCAACTAATCTTTTTTCTTAGTGTCATCAGAAAACGAATTTATTGCCAAGGAGTGTCGACGTCAGGTAAACCTCAAGAGAAACCAGACATGGGTAGGAAGATGATAAAGATATTTTATTAAATCTATATCATTTACCTGGCAGGTTGACATCTCGGAATTTGAGTCCATGTACCGTTGTTGCACGTAACAGCAGCGTTGTTGGATGGAAACTCATAGTTCTTCTCGCAATCCACGATTATTATGTCTCCTGTAACATGATTAATTGGGACTTAGCTATCGATTTCTTGCATGATCAAGAAGAATGAGACAACTTTAAGCTCTCCAAGAGAATAACACTCCAGCTAATCATGGTGAATATTCGCGTTGAACAATATGGTGTAACGTGTAACACGTCAGTAATATTCTTATTGACCTTTTTATTAATCTTATTGTCTGTACTAGAATTATAAAAATAATATTTTTATAAAAACTTACAACGCTTTTATAAATGAAATTAAAACCTCATAGAAATACTCATATGTTTACAGATTTTTCCTTATTTTTATTCGTTTCATAAATATAATAAATTTATTAGCACTACACAACAGGAATTCGAATGATACAATGTTTCTAGAAATTAGAGGCTGCAAACACATGAGCTGCCATGATTGTAAGATATAGGGCCTACTACTAGCTTTTAATAGCTTCTACCTTGATTCAGAGATGTCGCTACTATCTATGTAATATATCCCTCATACCGTGTTGCACCATAGTGGAACTGCCAACTATCTGAGTATTCCCCTCATTGGAGCTGTTGTCACTAGTTTTGTTCTCTACCAGAACCACCCGGCCCTGGGAGACATGTGGCACCACACAAGGAGCTAGAGGAAAAGAAAAGCATGTAATTAAGACTATTTAAAGAGATGCCTATGTCTTCTGTTTATTTAAATATTACATAAATTTTTAGTAGATAGGTTATTAAACAATTGATCTTTTAAGAGATTAATATTTAGTTTGTAAATAAAATGAGCAACCGAAAAAAGTTATAACATAGAAATAAAGCATAGTCATATATAAGAATTATCTAATAAATCTCGCAAATAACGTAAACTGTTCAAAATCTTAGAAGGGTTTTCAAAATATTGTTGCGCCACAGGACTAGGTAAATGGTTCTTGTATTGTGTAGTTAGTTCGTGAACAATTGAGATTCGTGTGGAACTGAAAGACAGCGCCACCTAGTATCAAGTTAGGCACAACGAACACTACGCGTTGAAATAATTCCGATACTTGCTGCGCTATCAACACTATGATTATCGGAAGGAATAATACAATTCTAGATTTCTAAATATACTTGAGTCTACCTGGAACGTTCTCTTGGATCCTCGTTATTATTCTAGTAATTTTGGTGGCCTTATATAATCGGAGCGTGGTGGATGAACAAGACAGTATTGTTTTCCTAGACAGCGGATTAATTTCAAAGCGATTTTATAGTGGGACTAACGAGTTATTTGGTTAAGTTATTGTTTGTAGAAGTGTGTGTTTATAAATACAGTGCTAATTTTAGTAATTAACCGCCTACTTTTATTTTGTCAAATTCCCGGCTACGAGAATAATAAAAAAAATACATATTAACTATTATTTAAAGCTGAGCCTCACTAAGCTTTGAATTGTTCCTTCCGTTGTTACTTCCGTTTAATGACATTACTCCTACTGAGTTATACTTCATATACTACAATATAATGCATACAAACCCAAACACATGGGTAGCGGATGACTCCAGGAGCCATCACTCTGACATATGGCAGAACCGTTGCCCTCCATCTTCATCCCATCCTGGCATCTGAAGATAATGGAAGCTCCTAGTCCAGTCCCAGAAGATATGTTCTCAAGCCAACCATTCCATAACTGGCCCGGATGGCCGCAGTTGATTTCTGGAAAGTTATCAATTTAAAGATGGCTAGTTATTCCATTAGATACGTAAACTGGCAAATAAACGAGTACTTCATCTGAAATTTAGCAAGTTTGTATCTCTAAAAACTGACGATATTATTTGACTCTTTTACTTTTTAAATCTTTATTATTAAGACAATAATAATCACAGTAGCTCCAATTTCAGAAGTTATAAATCGTTCCTTGTTTAAAAACTTAGAGGAATATTCACCTTTGCACATAGGTTGCAAGCCGGACCATTTCTTGTCTGCTCCACAGCGCCTCGTCGCATCACCCACAAGACGATACCCGTACTTGCATTCATACGAGACGACGGAATTGTAGGCGCACGATGTGTAAACAGCCTTGCCGTGGCGCGGCGCCTCCGGCGGTGGGCACTGCACCTGCGTTACCACTAGATAGCGACACGCGTCGCTTTAACGATACCCCGATAAAAACACAGATGGCGGTATTACCAAAATTTTTAATAATCATAAATAAGAAACGTGCAGAAACATGCGAAAAAATAAAACAATATAGTATATTTTCTTGAATTTATTTCACTACAGCATTTAAAGATAGAAATTTACAATAACCATCGATACTACTAACATTGCTATATCAACTAATAGTCAGATAGGCAGTAACGACAATTTTTATCATGGCCACAGAAAACACAACTTTTAAAGTTGCAGAAAACGATAGCTTCATAGAATTTGAAGACGACAACGTTTCTATAGAACATTACTTTAATATACTACGTAATGTAATGGATGCTCAAACGGTCCCGGCATCTCCTTCTAAGCAGCATTAAAAGGAGAAAAAACAATCAGAAAAATCCATCTTTGGCAAATTTCAGAGGAATTCCCACTTTTGGCAAAAACTTGACCAAAACCCTACAATTTTAGAAAAAAAATCTATGAATTTTAAATCTTTCTCCAAATATTATCTCATAATCCCAGTAAAAGAAAATTCAAGCTTAACATTAATACCAATTCCAAACACACAGATATACAAAAAAAAAAATGAATTAAAAAAGTGGGATTTCCATTATTTTGCGTCATGACAATGATATTGCTCCGATGATAGCCATGATAATCATTATTTAAAGCGTCATGCGAACTATTTCGATAATATAAGACTTGAGACCGGACCATGCAACATTCCAAATGAGGGACAACACTGAAATCGGCAACTACATTGTCACGAAGCAAGACCACACGCGGAAAAAATTTAAAAATCAATAACGAATCTTGATGATGAGTCTTGGAAAAAAACTTTGATAATTTTCTAAAAGTCACAGACGAAATCACACTAATATATGGAGTATGTTTGTTAGTTCTTCACACTGTCATAGCTGGACCAATTTTGATTAAATGATGGCTTAATACATTGGCTTCTTTCTATCCCAAACAAATTTACTGTTCCCGTGGGAAGAGCCAGGAATTAAAATATATCTTGAACCGCAAGACGCAGTTAGTTTTTACTAAATCTCAATGAACTGTTCTACTATCGTAAGTTTATCTTAGACAATAATTAAGAATGTTAAACTCGAAAACTTGTAACAAACAAAGAAGGTTTAAAAGAAATAATTGTTTTAATTTAGACAGTAGGATGTCCACTATTAAACATAAAAGTCTTACCCATGATTAGAAATGTTTATTACTTTTTATCGCCTTAATTATTTACCAACTTATACAAGCAGAAACTACGCCGCTTTTATGTATTCTGAATAAGAAGATTACCCGAATGTTTAAAAATTACGCAATCTTTTCTCACGAAACTATTAAAAAAAAAATCATCTCACTTACAATAAATAATGTCGTACTTAATACAAAATTGGGTTTTCTTTTTCAACATGAATTATTGCGTATTAATTAATAAATCTAGAGAGTCGTGAATAGTTATTTAACACAATTTGTTCTCTAATTAAATTTTTACATGCTTATTAATTAATCTCATTTTTCCGTAATATTTTAGAGTTTATGATGGAAAAACTTGATTTTAGGGCACCAATGTAAAGTATTATTGAATATTTTTCATTTGAGAATATTATTCACCTTTTCGTTTCAAATTTATTCTCGAAAGACTCATCATCAAAACACCTTAAGAAAACAAGGTTGACTACTCACGGACACAGGTTGGTAATTCTTTTGGTGCCCATGCACCATCTGCCTGGCAGTAGCGTTCTGCCTTGCCAACAAGCTCGAAACCCTGCCCACATTGGAACACAGCTCTGCAGCCAAAAGTGTGGCAGTCGGCCGTAACCCAACCGTGTGGGACGTCTCCTGGCTCGCCACAGGATCGGGCTGTGGATAGTGGCAAAATAATTACCAAAGAAGAATAGAACATTTGTTAAAAAACTTTTTATAATAGTTAAAATCGATAAAATGATTCTTAGTGCGACACTTATATTTAAAGTAAAAATGTTCTGCTTTTTCGGCGATTTTTTTTACTAATTAGTCTGTTTTATAAGGTAATTCTGCTTTTTTGGATAAAGTTATGAAATTCGATCCAAAATTTTATTACAAAAAATAATAAATGATACAGAAATAACAAATCCTTCAATCTTTCAATTAATATTTTAAGGACTGTTCTTAAGATATTTGGATAAATGCAGAAAGGACCTCTTAAATATTTCCAACATGTAAGTGACTTAGACGAGAATAATACTTACGCTCGCAACTAATATCAGGGCCATACCAAGACGCCTGGCCATCTATAGCCAAACATTTGGCTCGAGGGAACCCGTTCGTGACGTAGCCAGTGTGGCAATTGTACTGCACTGTTGCATCCAGGTCAAAGGTGCCTTGTTCAGGAAGGGCTGAGTGGCGCGCATGCTTGATCGTGGGGGGATGGAGGCAGTATACTGGAAATTGATGGTTTTTGGTCAGTGACAAAAGAAATGATATTTTTTAGAGATGAGGTCCTGTTATTTGATCTGTGGTTTAATTCAAAATATGGCGATTATAGAGAAGATAAGTCATTAATGTGGGATGATATCTAGTGTGAAGTGCAAAGGACTTGAAATTTCAAATACCGGTGTAGGTAGGCAGGTGCAGGCAGATACACTAAGCCGAAACCTGATTATATCCTTAGGAACACAATTTTTCTAAGTATACATCGGTGGCGATATCTACATACTATGTCATACGAAGACACGTCGAACTGCGGAGTACTTCGTACTGATCATACATCGCAATATTTATAGGATTTTCCAATAACAACCATTAGGCCACGGTCCACCAGGCATCATAACGTTGCCTACTTGCTGGATCTTTTCTTTGCATTGGAGAGGTATAACATCCGTTTCTTGACACATCTATCAATAATAATTTGTTTGAGATTTGTGAAAAATGCTGCTTACTATTGCCTAAGATTATTTAAGGTTTTAATGCGAGGGTAGAGACAACACGGAGTTCAACATTTTTATAACTATCATTCCGTGCTTCCGTGCCTAAATACGAGTAAAAAGCCAACTTACTATTTTCCTTGCAAGCTGGAGGTTGTCCAGCCCACTTGCCATCTGCCTGGCAGCTTCTGTTTTGGAGACCAACCACGTGGTACCCATGTGGACAAGAATATCTCGCTCTGAAAATAGATTTTTAACATAATTATGTTAGTTCCTGGATATTCCGGCAACAATAAGTTCGAGTAACAGGTATGCTACCCAGCCCTGCTCAAAAAATAACTTTACATCATTATTGTCAACAGCCTTTAATAGACCACTGCTAGACATAGGCCTTGCCTTAGAACGGAGATTTTGGCCTACCATGTCAAGTTTACCTTCTGTTGGCAGTACTGATGTCCTGCGTAGTTTGCTCTGTGGCGTCTCCCTCATACAAAAAACAGAAACATACTACAACGCCATCTAATGAAGACACACCGAACTACGGAGTACCTACTAAAATAAGAATTGCTAATCCTGTATCGCGATATAAAGAATTCCCTCGCCGATTAGCATATATACAATTTCCCAACATCAACCGTGGGGCCGCGGCCCGCCAGGCATGATCGCCTCGCCTGGTCGGACCCTCCCTTTGTGTTGGAAGGACATGACACCCGTTCCTTCACAGTTCCTATAGTCAGCTCTTACAACATCCACGGGATGAATACGGGTGGTGACACTCTGTATTCTTAAACTGTCACCATACTGACATAATAATAATAATAAGTTACAGACAGTTTTCGATCAATCCGCATAAACTATAACCTTTCTATTGCCCTTCCTTAATATCTATCCTTTTCAATGTACTCATGATTTGCCAATCTTATAAAGTCGGGTTCAAGGCATGCTAGCTTCCTATTTAGGCCGATAGGCAGGGAGAAGCCACTGGCTTTCTCTGAGATGGGGCCTTGTTAGGTGCGTCGTCGATCTGGGGGGACCTGAAATCACATGGCCCGGATTCTTCCCAGAGCAGGGCGCCTAAGGCTGGCCGTCGGAGTGGTTTTTAGTGGAAACACCACATACTCCTGGCTCCTATATCCCCAAGGAGCCGGAGATCCGAAGGAATTTTCCACTCCGTCAAGAAAAAAAAAGCCTCCTACCACTTTAGTGACACCAGATGATCAAACCCGCCACCTCTAGGTTAGGTCAGTAATTATCAACTAATACTATTCCTGATGTGATCAGCATGATCCTATGCATATAAAATTACTTGCCCTGGCTAATTGATTTATCAATGAAGAGCCCAAACCGCTGCGGCTACAAACTTGAAATTTTGGCAGCTGTTTGTTGTAAGCACGCACTAAGAAATGATTTTTAGAAATTTCATTCATAAGAAGGTAAAATAAGGTTAAACGGTTGCATGAAAGTTCGCCAATTTCAAAAGTAAAACACACGAAATTAGAAATAATCAAGCGAGCCATAGCTAGTGTAGTTATGGTACGTTATGTAGACAATAAAGCCCCGAGATTTCCACTAACAAAATTTCCACTTATAAATACATAATTGATTAAGCGTCCTGTCTATTTCTTTACAATTAACTGTACTGTTCTGTAACTGAGGAAGAAAATGGCATTATTCATGGTCATTATATTCTGTGATACTATTTATATCCAGTGATTGGGACTAATCCCACCCACACGCCCACCACTGTAACTCCTGTACACCAGAATCCACAGCAGTGACCCACGAACACACCGAGTTATGACATTTGGGAAGTCCCAGGAAGAAATTAAACTGTCTTGGAACCCGCAACGAAATTAATCAGAAGAAAATTGGAGGAGTTGGAAATACAGTAAATCTACTTCCCTCCTTAGCAAAGCGGGAGACAAAATGAAGTAAAATAGGTATACACCCTTTTAAACAGGGAAGCACCACGAAAATATTACGGGTCCTACGTGAGCTATATTTGATTTCTATAATATGTATGGCAGAATCGCCCAAACGCACGGAAATTCACCCTAGTTGACACAAGATCCCCATAGTATACCGCACCAGATGTCACCTGCAAGCTATTCAGCATTATATTACGTTCATTATACCAAAGACTACATTCCCAGAGGATATGATGAGCAGACTGTTCATAGTGAGAGTTAGGTGTTGAGCATTGACACAATGGTGACTCGACTAATTTAAATGAATACAACTGTATATCCAGTGTCGGGGTCTCAAAAATTAATAAATAAATACAGTTCCAAATAATCTTAATACGCAGGTTACTTACTTATCTCCAAAAAGTCTTCCAGTTAATAAAACGGTTCCGATTTCAGGGTTAGGGAGTTCAGGACACTCGCGATCTGAAACAAATGAAAGATATATTATTTAAATAAATTACTGTGAATCTAAACCTTCAAGAAAAGAGCGTACTCCTTCCTCAAATGCAGGGGTTCATATACGGCGGTATTCGCTTTCCATCAGATGACCCGTCTGCTCGTTTGCCCAATCTTCCATAAATGTTTTAGCAGATAGATAACTTTAGAAGTCGAAAAATTTCTAGAAGTCTTAATGTTGAGAAACACAATAACTAATCTGTGGTAGATTACTCTGTAGTTCTATATTGTATACTCTATGTTCACTTCCTTCTTGTCTATGTGTCGCGAAAATGGTACCATGTAAGTTTTGCCATGTATTATTTCCTTTTTATAATAAACAAGTCGCAATCGATACTGAGTTTACTATCTTAACACTTAAAAGTATTATAATTGTGTTTGCACCATCTTTTATGGTATTAGGGAAAAACGAGAGAGCAGGTCAACTGATGATAGTTGACATAGACATATCAAGAGACAAAACTCCGCCCCCAGAAATCGATCGAATTGTCCTCCGGTAACATATCACATCACATCATCAACAGCCTTTAATAGTCCACTGCTGGACATAGGCCTCTCCTTAGAAAGGAGGTTTTGGCCTACTATACTACGCTGGCCAGACGGGTTGGTATAGGGATTGTATCAAGTTTTTTGCAGTGCTGGTGACCTGCGTTGTTTTGCGCCCTTAGTCGGCTCTTACGACACCCACGGGATGAATTGGGGTAGTGACATTCCGTATTCTTAATCCGTCACTACACTACACGGTAACATCTATAACCGCTGAACCGATTTCGATCAAATTTGACCTTACTAATCGCAAATTTGTCAAGGAGATGTGTGATATTAAAGTAACGACAGGCTTTTTTTTACCGCGATTCCCAACATACACGCGGGCGGAGCCGACATACCTTTCATTTAGGTATGTTAAAAATAAGACAAGCTAACAAAACACTAACTTTATATGTTAAGGTTGAAATTTGACTGACAGGCTATCTCTGATATTAATAACAGGCAATAAAGCTTCATGTTTAATCCGTATGTAATATTAAAATTTCAAACGCGCAGCCAATTATGTCTCGTATTTCCATGCACCATCATTCAATTGCTGTAATTGATTTGCCAATTTGTGTTGTATTACTTTATGTTACATCTGTGTTTACCTTGATAGATAGATTTCTTCACTAAGTTTATGGAGGTTCTTAGAGATAGCTGTATTTCGTCTAAGTGCTTCGTTCTATTTTTCAATTTTTCCAATTGGAACCAGTAGTTCCTGAGATTGGCACGTAGCGCAACCAAACTTACTTCTTACTTCAGTTGATGTTGGCATAGATATCTAATTTTATGAAGAAGTTTTTACATAAAATAAACTAAATGCAGCGAGCTAGTAACGGCATCGCAGAAATTTGCGTGTTCTGCCCAGCGCTCTAACGTACCTACATATGTATGCACTTAAATTAATTTATGATGATGTTGTGGTAAGGTTTAAAAACTTTGCTAAAAGAGAGTGCGATTTTATTTGATTTAATACATCATTGTGAAATTGCAAAATAAAATTTTAATTTAATATATTTGTGTATCACCTAACGAAAATAAAATGTATATTGGAACTCACTCATGGGGCAATACGAGCAAACCTAAAACTATCAACCACTTTGCACATAGGATTTTTTACTGGATCCCATAAGCTGGACTAAAACTAAAAGACGACAAACCATTCCAAATCTTATTCGACCTCTCTTTAAACATGTCTATTAAAGGAAATATTTTTGTTTTCTTGGCCCTTATCTATATGCCAATATTAATAACATTTTAACATTATACAACCTTAATAAAAAACAGTGCCAGAATAAAATATTCGCATTTATACTTAAATTATCGTATGAAAAAACTGAAAACTACTCTACTCACACTTTCACATCTTCACTCCACTCACAGAGAGGACAAATAATACGATTTCTTGAGCTTCGATTTGCAGTGATATTTGTATAGTAATCTGATATTAGAGTTTATTTTTTATTTTTTAAAACTGGTGTAAAACTTTTGTTGTAATAAATGGTATAGGTAAAGTTAGGTGATGTAATCAGGGAAGAGCGCTGATGTCTGGGATACAGATTTCTAATCTAGTCCAGGCACAGATGCCCCAATTTAAATGTGTCCCACAGCAATAGTTGTAAAACCATGTACTGTGCAAAAACACTGTTTATGGAATAAATTATTATTATATTAGGATGGATGGTGAAGCGAAAACAGCAACTCGAATTCCTGGAAATAGCTGATGTCTGGCTGGCTATACCTATTTTGGTAGATATTTCACTGATTTTGTTATTTATTGAAACATCTCGATATAATTTAGATAACAATAAGTAGGTACGCTACCAAGATAACAGAATACAGGAAGTTACATTAATATTATTTGAACAAAAGATTTTGCTTTCATAAGATCCGCGTGGGAATTCGGTGAGAAATAACAACTGTTCCAGAGTTCTATATATTTAGATTGGATTGTTCTATATAGTACCGAAGCGAAGTTTAGAACAACTAGTAAAATTGAGGCAGTGCAATAAGGCTTTGATAATCTTTACAAAACTAGCACTAGAGAGAGAATCAAAGAAAGAAGATATATTAAACAGTGTTCAGAAAACTAGGCAAACGTAGTGTAGGACGCCCACATGCCAGGTGGATTTGCGCAAGATGTTTGGCAGGAGTTGGACGCGAGAAGCCGAAAATCGATCGAAGTGGCGTGCAATGGGAGAGGCCTTTGTCTAGCAGTGGACTGCGATAGGCTGATGATGATAAAGATCCTGAGGTAACTATATAATATAATAATAATAATATTGTACCACATTCTCACAACGCGATCTAGTCCCAAACTAAGCAAAGCTTGTACTATAGCACTGACAACTGATATAAATACATATATACTTTTTTGTAAATACATACATAGTATACATAAAAACACCCAGACCAAATCAAACAATGAATGTTCATGCACACAAATGTTTGACGTAAACGGGAATCCAACCCGCGAACTTTGGAATAGCAGTCCGTTTCACAAAACACTACGCCATCCCGTCGTCGATTACTATTGCAGTAATCTGAGTAATAATAATAATATTTATTTAGATAAAGAGTACAATAATTTATAATAAATGGTTCTTTAATTTATAAATAAAATACCTTTGTCGTTTCTTTGCCCGAACTAAGTTGAACCTGTGTTTTGGGCGAAGAAGTGCTTACAGACTATTTTATCAATATAAATCTACTTAACTACGATTTAATTATAACATTCTAATAGCCTACATCAGCAACTAGCAACATTAGTGTTAAGTGGGTCAAAAATAATGTACTAAGACCGTTCAGATAATTTTTTATTTACATATTTCGAGTAACTGCTCAGTTTGTTCGAACGACAAAATTTGTAAATAATTATGTAATGTGTTTTTACAGCTGATATAATTAATTTATTAATACTTAGCTCTCTATTTAATCTATGATATACAAATGGACCTAAATGAAAATAATCTATTTGAATAAATAAACTTTAAGTCGAGAGGTGGCTACTTTTACAATCGCTCTTTGAGCTTTTTCTAGAGCCAGTATAAAAGTTTTTAGAGCTCAACCCCATGAGGTTGCGTATATGGCATTGGTGTGCGTATATGGCAGTGTTAGTTACAGCGTACTGATGTTTGCGCTTGTGTTGTGTGCTTGTTTGAATATATTTAGTCTTGTCAGTATTTAATGTTAGAAGATTATTCTTTAACCAAGTATACACAATATTTAAGCCAAATCTGAAGTCTTTAATCTATGTATATAGAAATGTTAGGTTGATTTGAGTACGCTTAAAAACTCAAACTCAAATTTGGATACCATATACAAACCACTTCAAAGATGGTTTTTGGAACGAAGTTCCTTATCGCGCGTTGTGAAAGGGGGCTAGACGGAAAAAAATGTCACGAAAAGTTGTAACGACACTTTTTATGTCAGTCATTCAGCGCCATCTATCGAATAGATAGGAAATCGTTACTTTTCATCTCAGTATTTATTTTGAATTGTCACTTGTCAGTCATTCAGCGCCATCTATGGAATAGATAGGAAATCATTTCTCTAGGAGATTTTACCAATGTATAAATTGTTTTAATTAGAAACCAATTGAAAAATAAGTAGGTAATAGCCGCTTTCATAGATGGCGTTGTAATTAAAATTGTGTCGAATCAGTTTTACTCGATCGTCACAACTTCGTTCCTATCGGGTGTCCCATGACACCACACGGCTTTTTATTTATTTTTCGCGTCAGTTTCTGCCTCATCTCTCTTCAAAGAAACACCAATGTGCCGCAGCGAAACTTGGAAGGGAAAGCATAATAATAAAAGAGAGTTGAGAGCGAAAGGCTTCTACTAACTTAAAAAAAAACTTAAGCAGACATTTTCTTACATAATAACTACTTAAAAATCTACAATGAAAACTCCTTACACGTATTTCGCTCGTATCTAATACTGAAAGAGTTTTTCAAATCGGACCAGTAGTTCCTGAGATTAGCGCGTTCAAACAAACAAACAAACAAACAAACTCTTCAGCTTTATAATATTAGTATAGATATAAATGTATTTAGAAATATCTTAGCATGTTTGTTTTGAAATATATATGACGCCAAAAATAGGCTTGCTATTTAATACGGATTTTGCTATTTATTTGGAATTAAAATTATGGTAAAAAAAAATTTGCCCGGTCCGGGAACGGACCCGAGGCCTTATGGATTGCAGTCCCTTATCCCTAAGGCAGCGGTTTTTCAGCAAATTCAAATATGAGTTAGTAAACAAATAAAACAATAAGATTTATATTCTGTACTCAGCGCTAGCTAGACCCGAATTAAGCTTAGCATGAATAACATACGTATAATGCATAGAAACATCGAGATAACCCCAGAATCCACATATAAGGAGATTTGTACATACAAATATTTGCACTGAGCGAGTGAGAATAAAACTACAACACGTAACAGAACTTGAATCGCCTTTTACAAGTCTCAGTGGGGATAATTTATATAATCTTTCTGGAGACGGGGATTAAATGAGAAATGTGTTGTCACCCTACTTAGAACACAAAGCTGTCAGTTGTGCTTTCATTAGCAGGGGTGCTAAACCGCACAGAAAAAAAAAATTAAGGGAGTGCTAATCTGTGGGTTGGTACAATTTATCTCTCTTTGGAGGTTTTGTTTTTTTCTTTTTTTTTTTAAACTTCCGCACTAGGAATATAATATAGCGTGTCACGGGGGACTTTACAAACAGGACAACAATTTTGGATCACAAAAAGTTCGTTCCATGTGGGGATCGAACCCACAACACTCAGCGCTGTAGTAGGCGGCGTGGCGACCGCTTAAACCACTACGCCTTTCGTGCAGTTTGTGACTATATATTATCTATAACAAGATCTTTCTTCCAAGGCTCAGACTGTTCCATTCATTGAGTATTTTATTTTATCCTTGTCTTTAGTAGAATACTTCCATTTAACGGAGTCCAAATGTCCCCACCCTCACTTGATTCTCGGGTGGGACTCATATCAAGTCGTAGGTGTTAATGGTGGCGATAGTCACTTATTATCAGAAGATCCATCTGCTCGATTGCGCCCCTATACCACAAATTTAGGAAATGGAGTTCGTTTGGTTTGTTACTTTCTACGTATGGCGTAGTAGTGTAAGCGGTCACCTCGTCGCTTCCTACTGCGCTGGGTGTTGTGGGTTCGATCCCCGCATGGAACAACACTTTGTGTGATTCACAAATTGTTGTTCTTAGTCTGGGTGTTAAAAAAAACCATATCTTCATTTTTCTAACTATTCTTAATATTTTGTTTGTCCTTTTTCGTGAAACCACTCAGACAGGTTGCAGGGAAACCAAGATGGAGAAAAAATTACGTATCAAAAATTATAGTTACCGTTTTATATTTGAAATGTTGTAAGATAAACACAATAATATCAAAGAACATAATTTAAAAGATAGATTTGGCAATTTACAACATTTAATTAAGTCGCC